CAACCTGCTCCTGAATGACTACTGGGTACATAACAAAATGAAGGCAGAAATATATTCTTAGAAATCAATGAGAACAAAGACACAATGTACCAGAATCTCTGGGACACATTTAAAGCAGTGTGTAGAGGGAAAATTATACCACTAAATGCCCACAAGAGAAAGCAGGAAAGATCTAAAATTGGCACCCTAACATCACAATTAAAAAAACTAGAGAAGCAACAGCAAACACATTCAAAAGCTAGCAGAAGGCAAGAAATAACTAAGATCAGAGCAGAACCGAAGGAGATAGAGACATAAAAAACCCCTCAAAAAATCAGTGAATCAGGGAGCTGGTTGTTTGAAGAGATCAACAAAATTGATAGACCACTAGCAAGTCTAATAAAGAAGAAAAGAGAGAAGAATCAAATAGATGCAATAAAAAAATGATAAAGGGGATATTACCACTGATTCCACAGAAATACTGACTACCATCAGAGAATACTGTAAACACCTCTACGCAAATAAACTAGAAAACCTAGAAGAAATGGATAATTTCCTGGAAACATACACCCTCCCAAGACTAAACCAGAAAGAAGTTGAACCCCTGAATAGACCAAAAACAGGTTCTGAAATTGAGGCAATAATTAATAGCCTACCAACCAAAAAAGTCCAGGACCAGACGGATTCACAGCCAAATTCCACCAGAGGTACAAACAGGAGCTGGTACCATTCCTTCTGAAACTATTCCAACCAATAGAAAAAGAGGGAATCCTCCTTAACTCATTTTATGAGACCAACATCATTCTGATACCAAAGCCTGGCAAAGACACACACACACAAAAAAAAGAGAATTTTAGACCAATATCCCTGATGAACATCAATGCAAAAATCCTCAATAAAATACTGGCAAACCGAATCCAGCAGCACATCAAAAAGCTTATCCACCACGATCACATCGGCTTCATCCCTGGGAAATAAGGCTGGTACAACATACGCAAATCAATAAACATAATCCAGCATATAAACAGAACAAAAGACAAAAAACACATGATTATCTCAACAGATGCAGGAAAGGACTTCGACAAAATTCGACAGCCCTTCATGCTAAAAACTCTCAATAAACTATGTATTGATGGGACATATCTCCAAATAATAAGAGCTGTTTATGATAAACCCACAGCCAATATCATACTAAATGGTCAAAATCTAAAAGCATTCCCTTTGAGAACTGGCACAAGACAGGGATGCCCTCTCTCACCACTCCCATCCAACATAGTGTTGGAAGTTCTGGCCAGGGGAATCAGGCAAGAGAAAGAAATAAAGGGTATTCAATTAGGAAATGAGGAAGTCAAATTGTCCCTTGTTTGCAGATGACATGATTATATATTTAGAAAACCCCATTGTCTCAGCCCAAAATCTCCTTCAGCTGATAAGCAACTTCAGCAGAGTCTCAGGATACAAAATCAATGTGCAAAAATCACAAGCATTCTCATACACCAATAACAGACAAACAGAGAGCCAAATCATGAGCGAACTACCATTCACAATTGCTTCAAAGAATATAAAATACCTAGGAATCCAGCTTACAAGGGATTTGAAGGACCTCTTCAAGGAGAACTACAAACCACTGCTCAA